TATCTTCTAGAAGCTGCGATAGTGCCTCCTAATCGATAAGAATGTCGCGGTAGTAGTTGTTGTTACGCTTTAGCTAATCGAGCGCGTTAATAACCTTTATATAGCGGACGCGGAAGTCTTCTCGAAATTAGCGTCGCTTGCGCTCTTAGTCCTACTACTCGTTAGCCTAGTGCTAGTTAACCTGCTTAGCGAGTTCTTCGTCTTCTACCTAAGGGTTCTATTCCTTTTAACGTAGGCGTAGGACTATAAGATCTAGCTCCCGAGGAATACGAGGCAACTTAGTATATACCGTAACAATATCTTTTAGAAAGTTGCAAATATGCCTACGATATTAGTACTACTGCCTACGAACGTAGAAGACCGATATCTATATATGTATACGAGCAATAATTAGCTCTTCTATAGTCGATAATCTAGCTAGTTCCTCTAGAATTTGTCCTAGATCTATATTGTTGCTATTACTAAATAGAAAGGGGTTACTAGCTTCTATCTTGCTCTACGTATCGCGGTTAATATACCGGCTACAAATGCCCTTGTTCCTCTCGATGTTTATACTAAACCACTTCTTATAGCAACGCTCGCAGGTCTCTAGTATATCGCTATCGATAGTAGAATAGAAGTTATATAGAAGTTCTTAATCGGTTAGGTTAAGCGCTAGTATATAAGACTGTGTATCTGTAGCGACAAGCGGCGGGTCTTAGTAAGCTAAGAAACGATCGCGACGATCTTGCTATATACGAACATTAGTACTAACGTTGCGTCGAGGTACTAGACTAGCCTAAGAGCCCTAAGCAGATTAAGGTTGAGAGCTTAACGACATAAACGCGTCGCTTTGCTATGTTCCCGATAGTATATATACTATCCTACTACTACTGCTAGCATTACCTCTACTACTACTACTACTACCGCGAGGTGTAGGTGTAGCCGGTACGGCTAAGCTCTATTACTACCTAGGAAAGTGCTAAATGTAGGCGTCGCGTAGTTTAGGTAAGGGAAAGCGCTAAAAGCTAAACCGATTGCTATTATACTTACCGGCGATATACTACTTGTTCTCGTAGATAGCGTCCTTACTAACTATACCAAGGTCGCAATACTAGCAATAGTCCTTATTAATACCGCTCTAGTCCTCTTGCGGGCGAGGTTCGCTATAATTAATATAGACGAAGAATAGCTACGTACTAGGAGGTATATTGCTAGTAGGAGATTGAAACTAAAGAGAAGGCACGGGGGCAGAGCTAGCCTGTTGCGAAACTTAAGGAGTTGCCGGCTAAGTTGTCTATGTAACTAGTTGCTAAGCGCCCGGAGGAGGCTGTTATATTATAGCGGATAGGTAGTTATCGATATTACCTTCGTACCGAGACTAGTATACCCGATAGCGTACTTACTAACTAGCTCTAGAGTACTCCTACTATTAAGCTTGTGTCTCTAGAGATAGCTAACTTAACGGGTAATATAGACGTAGAGGCGGAGCTATTATACTAAGAGTAGCACTAGAAGCACCTATAGAGATTAAGCTTCGATAGCGTAGAGTAGGAGTCGCTAGGCTAGATAGTATAGGGCTAGGTGCAGAGCGCTTAGTCGCTTTCGTAATCTCCTAATTGCCGGATCTATTCTTCGATACGAGTATGCTACGGTATAGAGTATATCGCTTTACTAGTAGACTACCCTTCTTCCTCTAGTTAAGAAACTAATAGATGTCTTTAATCTCGCTATAGTAGTCGCACTTCTAGGTAGGTAGCTACTCTCGATTAAGAGGGAAAGGTAGCTAGGTCGGAACTGCCGACTACGGTGCTGTTATAGGTATAGCACTTAGAGTAGGCTCGGCTATAGATATAGATAGCGGCGGCATAGCCTAAAGCTTACTTCTACCTATAAATCGAGGTAGATTAGAAGTAGCAATACGAGCAATCGGAACGTTATTTAGGTCGTATTTACTGCTTCTAAACACAATCGGATATACGCAGTCGTTCGTATACTAATCGCAGTCTATATTGTATAGCTATACGCGACTCGAGGCAGTATTAGTATTCTCTTTAGTGTCCTCCGCTATCTGCTGCTAAATGCTATTAAGAAGCATATTCTAGCGGCGATACTATTCCGGAATAAACATTCGGCTAAGGTTTATGCGGCGTAGCTGTTAGCTATAGTATCGTAGGATGTCGCGGATAGACTAATAGCGGTATATACGTAGCTTACGAACGACATTAATCTCGGACTTTAGTTCGGTCTACTTTTAAGCCTAATGCGTAAAGCGGCGGATCGAGTAGTCGATATAGCGGTTATACTCCTAGATACGCTTATCGTCGACGAAGTAGGACTCCGACGAGAGGCGTAGCTTTAAGTATATCTTATCGGCTTATACGGCGGGTCGAGTGTTAGTAATAGACTATAGTAAAAGGAAGTATTATATAATATCGGATAACAGTATATAGGTATAGTGCGTATTAGACTTAGACTATGTTTGATCGCGGTATAGGTCTAGCTCGGGTTGTGTTTGTTTGCGTAGAGATAGAGGCAAAAGTAGGAGCAGAGGTTAGAGGGGAGGTAGGGGTTGCGGATAGAAGTAGCGAGGTAACGCAAGAACCTGCCTTAGGTGCCTGCTAGTGCTAGTGAATGTGCCTCCCTTTACGAGTATCTTCTCGTTTGTATATATACGCTCCCGTTACTAAGTAGCATCTATCCGGATGTTATTCGTATATACAATATTAACGATTAGAAGGTAGAAAGTAAACTATAGAGTCTTAACTCTATATACCTTATACCTTTGTTAACGTTGTCGCTTAGAGGCTAGGGGGATAGTCGTTCCTCCTAAACCCCCCGTAGCCTTACCGCTTTAGTACCCTTATACCTTTGTTAACGTTAGTGCTTAGGGTAGGGGGGAATAGTCGTCGTAGGCTCCTCCTAAACCCCCTATATCTACTGCGCGAAGTGTTCCTTTCTATTAACGTTGTCGCTTAGAGGCTAGAGGGATAGTCGTTCCTCTTAAACCCCTCGGAGCCTTACCGCTTTAGTATCCTTATACCTTTGTTAACGTTAGCGCTTAGGGCAGGGGGGAATAGTCGTCGCAAGCTCCTCCTAAACCCCTTGTACCTACCGCGCGGAGTGTTCCTTTCTATTAACGTTAGGCGGAGTACTCCTTTATATTAACGTTAGCGCTCTTCTCGACCCGTAGAAGCGTATATAGGAGTAGAAGATAGGTAGACTGTAGCGTAGAGAATAGATCCTGCCTAAGGCTACCGTCGTTCTCGTATTAATTACTTTTGTTAGCGTACTTTTACTAAAGATGCGCTCAATCTACTTAACTCGTTAGTTTCGGTCTAACTCTAAGATTAATTAATTTAGCTAGGGACTACTTATTTATTAAAAGAATCAATTATGCGTATAGGGCGTAGATTAAACACTCGACCTTTAGACTTTATTCTTATTGTCTAAACCTTACCTCGCTGCCGGCCTTTTACGCTTCTAACTGCGCTACTATAAGGCTAGCGACAATAAAGGGTTATTAGCATATAAGAATTGCAGCCCTGCGTCTAATTACATTACGAGCGCGTTTATCTACTATAATAGGTAAATATAGGAAGTATTATAGCACTACTTCCGCTCTGTATATATTCGTCCGAGTTCTTTGCGTCTACTCTAGAATAAACAGACCTAGCCCCTTCTTCTTCTATAATGCACGCGGATTACCTAATCTTCTAAACTAATGCTAGGGTACAGAGTCGTAATTTTAGCAGGTTTCTTAAACCGCCGTAAGCCGCGCTAGCTAGGTTATAGTAGCCTTCTATACTATAGTAGGGAATTGTCGGTATTAAATGCGAGGTTTCTTCGTAAAGTCTTAAGGTCTCGTTAGCCTAAAGTAACTAGGTTTGTTAGCCTTTAATTATTATAGTTTCGTTACTATTATAGACTAGGTTTAGTAGCTATTAATTGTCCTTAAAAACTCAGTTCGTCTAGTTTCTATAGATATACTCCGGTATAAGGAAGCAAGCGTAGTAGGTATATATATATCTTAAAGGGCTAGGTATAACGAGATTTAACCGCTAGAAAGCCCCGGCCTACTATTCTATATTTTTGCTCTAGCATTGTCCTTTATATCCTTTTAACCTACTAATCTCTTTCTGTTTTATATGTCTTATACGGCGCGTACTATACGGGCTCGTAGGTGCGTAGTATTATAGGCGCGTACTATGCGGGCTCGTAGGTACGTAGTATTATAGGCGCGTAGTTTTAGATATCTTATACGACGCGTACTATACTAGGTCGTAGGCGCGTAGCGTTATAGGCGCGTAGTGTCGTCGGCGCGTAGTGTTATTATATTGTTGTACTTTGTTATTATCGTACTTAGGAGGAAGTAACGTAAGAAGTAAGCCTTAGGCGTAAATCCGGAGTTCGAGTTTCGCCGTCCTAGCAGTTCTTGCACAACTCGACCAATCAGATCTTTAGCTCTCAAAATCCGGGGAGTCACGTGGTGGCATACGAGGGGATTTGGCACCCTGTAGTACCCTTGTTATTGTAAGGCGAGCTTCGCTCGCAATCAGCCACGTCAGTCAACCCCAACCTGCCAAGGCTCACCATACGGACCCACATGGCAAGAACGTGTATCAAGATCCACTTTCTACGACCTCCGCACTGGTTGTGGGCCCTACAATCTGGAGACTATGCATCCCAAGCTCTTGTCGTACAATGCTCCCAAGCATTCAGGCGAGTTCAATGCTCCAGCGGCCAATGCTCCAGCGGCCAATGCTCCACGGAAGCGCGAATACATCAATAGACCGGACTCGCGTCTTTCGCACAGTAGGTAATTTCAATAGTGCTCTTCGCCTTCATTCTCCTACCCACTCGCTAGGCTCCGCTCTGCAACCATGCGCTCTTCTCCAAGCCTCAAGAAGTCTGATTCCGACGACATCCTCGAAGAAATCCAACCCAACGAGAACGAAAACGTGATAAAAGAAAAAGGACATGTTGCCGTAGATTTCGTCGAAGATCCAGAGCTTACGAAACAACTCCTCAAGAAAGTCGACTGGCGACTGATCCCCGTCCTCACGCTTCTCTACCTCATGTCGTACATGGATCGCAGCATGATCGGAAATGCGAGAATAGCAGGACTTCAAGAAGACCTGGCACTGACGGACTTGCAGTTCAATATGTGCTTGACGGTAAGGACTTATCAGAGGAGCGGAGAGACTACGTTATCCCTTCCTGACTTGCCCGGCCAGATTTTCTTCATACCTTATGCTTTGCTTGAAGTGCCTGCGAACATCATGCTCAAGCTACTGAAGCCCAGGCTCTGGCTGACAATCATCACCCTGCTTTGGGGCGCGGTCATGACTCTATCTGGGTGAGAGAAGAAAATTTGCCATCGGGAACAAGGGCCTCCTGCTGACGAATGACAGCTTGGTCGACAACTACTCTGGACTACTGGCAGCTCGCTTCTTCCTGGGCGTCACCGAGGTAAGCGATCGAGTGTAACTTCCATTGTCCAAGCTAAGCATCCAAGGCCGGCTTCTTCCCAGCAGCATCCTACATCCTCACAATGTGGTACGCCAAACACGAACTGCAAACCCGAATGGCATACTTCTACTGCGCCGCGACTCTCGCCGGCGCATTCGCAGGGCTATTCGCATATGCCCTCAATCTGATGGACGGCATCGGCGGGCTCGCCGGGTGGCGCTGGATTTTCATCATCAACGGCCTGATGACAGTCGGAGTCGGAGTTTTCATCCCATTCATGATGGTCGACGGTCCGGAGAAAGCGAAGTACTTCACGCCCGAGCAGAAAGCCTATTTCCTTACACGCCTCGAGGTGAATTACAGCAGTGGAGGGAAAGAAAAAGAAGGCTTTAAATGGAAATATTTGAAGCAAGCACTTTCCGACTGGAAGATTTGGTTGTCGACACTGATATTTTGGGGCAACGCGATCCCAGGTTATGGGTATGTGTGTGTGTGTGTCCAGCATTTCACGCAAGATAGCTAACGCCGCTGCTTTTCCAGCTTCGTCCTCAGCCTACCAACCACCATCAGGGGCCTCGGCTACTCATCCCAAAAAGCTCAACTCTTAACAATACCAGTCTACATCGCCGCCCTCATCTTCGTTATCTTCTGCTCCATTCTTTCAGATCGCTATAGGAAGCGCTCACCCTTCGTCATCTACCCATACTTCCTCTCCGCAACCGGCTTCCTCATCCTCCTCGCCATGCCCTCCGATCGCTGGCCCGGCGCTCGCTACGGGATCCTGTTCCTCGTCGCCATCGGTCTCTACGTACCTCTCGTAGGAGTCGTATCCTGGAACGCAAACAATCTCGCAGGGTCCTGGAAGCGCAGTATTGGCATGGCTTTGCAAATTACAGTGGGAAATCTCGGAGGTGTGGTGGCTAGCAATATCTATGTCGGTCGTGAGGCGCCGAGTTATTGGACTGGGTATGGAGTCAGTCTTGGAGTTACGGGAGTTGCGATTGCGGCAGGGTTTGGATTGAAGGGACTTTTGACAGCGAAGAATAAGAGAAGGGATATGGTGAGCGAAGAGGATGTGAGATCGAGGTATAGCGATGAGCAATTGGCGGAGATGGGGGATGAAAGTCCGCTGTTTAGGTATGTGCTTTAGTTCTCTACTCGCCAGCAAATCCTGTTTTTTGGAGAGATCAGCAAAAGACGAGATGAGCGAATCGTGAGATCTCTCTCGCTATAACATCTTAACTTTATCTTCACAAACGCCAACGCATTCGATCCATACTCATTCCTAGACATGTAGCCTTGATGAGTCGCCGCATTGCAACAACATGGATCAAGCGCATCGAATCTTAGAGTAATTAGCGTGATTGTCTCTTTCAAGTCGTCGTGTCACCGAGTTCTGGCAATGATTGCCAGCTAACCCACTCGGGAGGTCTTCTGTATAGCCCAACCCGAGGATCGTGAACAATGCACCTACATCGAGTATGATTGCTCGCAAGAATACACACATGCTTGCAATTCGCGAAAACGGAACAGCCGTGATTGAAACCTAAGAATATCAGCATAGAAAACCCAATCTTCAAAGCCACGGATGCGTATGCCGCCTGTGTCATATACAATACAATGCAATCAAACCCCCTCTCCCTCTCAACCCTTCTCACCCGTCAAAATGAGATGCGCAGCTCTTTCCGCCAAAGCATACATGGTCGAAGTCGGATGCCCACCCATATTAAAAGGCACGGCGGAAGCATCGCACACGCGGACATTCGAAGTCCCATAGACTTTCAGATTCCCATCCACAACACCTCCCCATTTCCGTGGCCTAGGAACGATAGTCAGTTCGTCAGCATCTTACACAGACATCGATCGATTGACGAGAGAGAAACAACTCACAGCATAGCAGCAGTCCCAATCCCATGCCAGCCAGCCCGGAAATTATCCGACCAGTAATCCTTCCACTCATCATCGCTGGCATCAAGTGCCAAATTCTTATATCCCGGTTGAGTTTCTTCCGTCGTCAGATTGGCCAAGGGTTGGGTGGCGAAGAGTTTCCGCACGAAGCGGCCAGCTGCGATGTAGATTTCCCAGTCCCATTCGAGCATGAACCAATTCACGTCGATGAAAGGTGCTTCGGCGGCGAGATCGGCGTTGGCGCCGGCGATGTGGCAGCTTCCTCTTGACAACGGGATCAAAGGCCAGAATTCCATGTTCACGACGTTGTTGTTGACGGCTTGGCCGCTGAAAATCTCGACGACCGGGACAGGGGTGTTGAAAATGGCGTCGTACTGGACTTGGAGGGAATTCAAGATCTGGTCGGAGGAGAGGGAGTTGTTGATTCGGTTTGAGATCGTTGTTGCGTAGTCCCCGAGTGAAGCGTTGACACGCTGCTGCATGGAAGCAGCTTCGTTGCCGAGGATGTCCTCGTAAGTCGCATGGATCAGGTAATTCGTGATGATTTCTTCGCCAACCGTGTCGGGGAACGTGATGGAAGCGTTTGAGTTCTTGTTGAAGAAGATGTTGCCTTGCGCTTGATCTTGCAGGTTTTCTCCCACTCCTGGCAAATCGACCTTGGTATCGATCTTGTGAGACTTCAGGATTTTCGGATTGCCAATGCCGGAGTACTCCAAAATTCCTGGCGTGCGGTAGACGCCTGCGGAGAGGATCACCTCTTTCCTGGCGTGTATGACCGTCTTATTGTCGACATTCGAGATCTCCACGCCATGCGCTTTCAAGTCGCCTCCATCAGAGGATTTTTCCCAGTCAATGCGCTGGCACATCGTCTCATCGATCAATTCTAGGTTCGTTCGGCCTACGATAGGCAAGTAGTAAGCCTCTCTGGAGGACTCTCGTCGTTGCTCTCTTTGCGCATTGATCACGAAGAAGCCAGGGTAAGTTGAAAGTCCTCTCGCATCGCCGCCGTTGAAGTCGCGGATTCGCGGGATGGAGAAAGCCTTTGCTGTTTCTTCCAAGAGCCTGAAGTAGTCGGGAACACCGACAGCGGGGTAAGTGATATTGACAGGGCCGGCGGTTCCATGGTAGTCAGGATTGTACTTGTTCTCCAAATCCCTTTGCTGTTGTTTCGTGGGCGGTTGAAGGCCTTCGGACGCTTTGTAAAAAGGAAACAGTTTCTCCCAAGACCAGCCGGCATTGTTCACGTTGCCCCAGTCGTCGATCGAGCGCCTGTCTGGTCTCGAGTATACTCGGCCTGTACAGCATGTCAGTGACTGACGCAGCGTGAATGATGGACTGTAAAGCTTACCATTGATTTGGGAGCTACCTCCTACGGTCTTACCGGCTGGCAAATCCTGTATCCTGCCGTTCGCATATTTCTGCGGTAAGCTGTGGTAGTTCCAGTATGCGGTGGTGCCATTGATGCCAGCTTCGACGACGAGGACTGAATTCTTCGGATCGGCGCTCAATCTGTTCGCCACTGCCAATCCAGCAGTACCGCCTTTGAACGTAGATTACAGTCAGTAGGAGGAGCCTCAGGATCAGATAGCTTGCTTTGATTACCTCCGCAAACAATGTAGTCATATTCCTTCTTCAACTGTGCTGTGGCTCCAGCCCATAAGGCGGCCGTAATTAGAAACGAGCGGAATTCGAGCATGGCGCCCGCAATAATCAGTGACGGCTGAAGAAAGAGAACGAAAGATTGCAAAGAGCACCAGCGTTGTCGCGGCAAATGAGAGGAGCGCGCCATCTACAGACATGGTAACGACATGGTAGGTAATAATAAATGGGCTTCCCCTTGCACGAAGTTCATTCGTTGGAACATTGGCCGCTAGTTCTAATCGCGATGCTACCCTGCAGAGCATCAGGGAAGCCCATGTGTGATGATCTGGATCTCTTGGTATAACCGTTCTTACTGGGCTGATATCCAAATTATTCTACAGTCCTTCGCGGCGCCCACGTGTTGGTATCAGCGGCGATGTTGCAGCTCCATGGACGGATTGGGAGGCTTTTGTGTGCTTCAAGGGACTTTCCTTTGCGCATCTGATGAACATAGAATAACGTTAGACCAGGCTTTTCCGAACGGCTGGGTGCCAGGAAGGATGGGCATGGGGCCTGTTAGGCTATTAAGCACTACCCAATAGAGGAGTACCAGTACCTCGGAATGCTGAATACGGACTGCTTTCGAGTGCTTGCTGGACCATTGTGGATGTCGCGCTAGGCTGTGAAGTCGACACTCGCGAGCCATGTAGCATTGATATTTTGATCTTTGCTCGACTCCTTCGCAGTCCGCACATCTGTGTGTGTCAGGACTCCCACTCCATGCTTCTTAATGGGACTCATGGGAGATGTGAGTGGACGTGGGAGCCTGTTCGTGCGGTAATTTGCCTCGCGTTCATGTGCATGGGCACCCAAGCATGGTCATTTGCGCCATTGTGGCCGCGCAAAGGGCTGCCTGGAGTCCCTTGACCTGTGAATGATGTCGAGGCGCGATGCGAAGCACTGCGGGAGCGGACTTTCATATGCAGAGTGATACATTGTCACGTGGAGAGGTTGTGCATGGCGAGACTGGTGGAGAGGTGGAGGTGGAGGTGGAGGTGGAGGTGGAGGTGGAGGTGGAGGTGGAAAGAAAGGAGAGGCAGGAATAGATATGGTTTGAGCTAACGCTAACATGCTTGTTAGTCATTCCCGTCATCCCACACCAACGTTTTATTATTTCATCCTCCATCCCCTTAGTTAACTCGTCGCCTCGGAGCGTTCGTCGGCTAAACAGGCATTAACCCCTACGGTGTCTATATATTTAGCTTTTAGAATAGCACCTTATATGTAAATACTAGGGCTTCTATTAGACTCGTTTAGTATATAACTATGCCGCTTTTAGTGCCGCCGCACTCGGAGACTAAAAACTAACTCTTAAAGGTTCAAACCGTAAAGTTAAACTAGCTAATTTAGTAGTGCTAAATAGACTGCTTCTAAGCTACTATAGTCGATACAGCGGAAGCTAATAAAGAAGACAACGACTAAGGGTAGTTATAACAAGTAGATAAGGCTTATAGTAACCCTATTAAGTACGATAAGTACGTACACTTATATACTAAGGGTCCGGTCTTCGAGAGGGCTATAAATACAGTACCTCGTAGATTAGAATAGAAGCTATATAGTACTAGAAATAAGGACGATACAATTAAGGCTATTAGTAGCGATAATAGAGCTAGAGGCCTTTGTTATCCGATAGAAGACGACCTAAAGGAAGACTAATTTAAGCTATTAGTAGCGACTAAGTACTAGCGGAAGGTTAACTTACCTATCTACCTATAAGGTAACCTCTCGGAGGTTAAGGACGTATAGTACGAGTTCTTTAACCTCCTATAGACTAATAAGGTTGTAGACAGGTTAGTAAAGTATACTAACGAGTATATAGAGACCCGAGAGGAGTTTAAAATAGACAAAGCTAGAAACCCCCGAATTAGCTATAATAGGAGGCCTAAGATTGTTATATCTAGATACCCTTAGAAACTAGTAGGGCGTAAAGATATAATAATCTTCGTAGCCCTTATTATCTACATATCCGCGATCTAAATAGCCGATAAGTCCGATTACTAAAGGGACGACAAATACTAGCTAGTCTACGCAATCGCTAAATATATAAGTAAGTAGCGCTTCCGACAGATTAAGGCCGCTCTATAGTATAGAAGTCCTATTCTAAGAGGCTCTAGATTGCCTACGTAGGCGTAGATATTGCTATTAGCCGACCTATTACGAGATAGGTTTAAGACCGTCGTTATACCTAGAACTAATATATCGCTTAATAAGTCTATAATCCGGTTTATAGGGCGGTCTAGTTATATTATAATAATGCGAGGCAAGCCGACGCCTATCGGATACTATATCCTTTGCCTATATAAAGGTAGATACCTATATTCCTTCTTATTCTTAAGCCCTCGAAAGTAATACTCTTAGGAAGCCGAAACAGACGAATTCGTAACTAGGGTCCTTAAGCGGCCGGTTATCGTTCGTAAGCAGCTTACTAGCGCTAAAATAGTCGACCGTGTAAAGGAGAGTAATAAGAGGCGTCGAGATAGGCTTAATAGCCTTACTAGGGGTAGTAGTTATAATAGAATAAGTAGTGTCTACGAGGTTAATAAAATAAAAGTCGACTTCTACTTAAGGGGCGCTAACTAGTCGGAAAGTACGAAAAGCTCGGAAAGTGCCGTAAGCGAGCCTAGTAGTATATAACCGACTAACTACGCCTACGGACTTAATCTTAGCGCAAGGCTAAGCCCGCTAAGAATCGCTATCCTTCGACTATTACTATAACTTCTATTCTAAATATACTACTTCTATATCTTTATAGATAATCTGTTTAATAACGTTATCCTATTCGCTATTCTAAAGCATCTCGGAATTGCTACGACTAGCACTATACGATCCGGCTCCTTATCGTAGCCTTAGAGAGGCGCTAAATTCGAGAAGTTAGGTTAGCTTCTAAAAAATAGAAAGCGGAAGAAATTAACGTTTCTACTACTAAATCGCAAGACGACTCGTTTCCTATTCGATACCCTATTATATAAGGTAATTTATAGTATAGCGGCGGTTGTCTAGTAGGACAGAAATCTCGTTTAGTTCCTTATAAACGCTATTAATCCTCGAAGCCGAGAAAATCGCTTTAGGGTACGCCTACGAGCCTATAATAACGCCTTTATTAATAACTACGTACGACCTTACTAGAAAGAGGAGCGAGAACTTAAGCTATTACTAAGCATCGCCGCTCGCTATAATAATAGTATAGGTAGCGTAGATATCTATAACTAGCTCCGGTTCTACTATTCCTCTTAGTATAAGTTACGGAAGGGTTAGTATCTACTCTTCTACTTCCTACTTAATACCGCTATTATTAACGTATATATACTTCTTCGAGGCGATAAGACAAACAAAGACTTTACTTTCTAACGCGAGTTTAGAGTCAAATTAGCGTAGCAAATAGTCCGTAAGGCATAGAGCGAGAAGAACGCTCGAGAGGCTATAGAAGCCTCGGTAAGAGCGCTTTGTATACTAACTCTACTACCTCCTCGAAGCGCTAGTTAATTCATCTCCGGATATACCTACAATCGTAGCGGTAGAAGATCTAAGCGCTATTAGATTAGGAAAGGCGATAGCTTACCTATAGTTAAAAAGAAACGGCGTATAGAGCGTAGTAGATAAGCAGTCTACCTAATAAAGCCTATACTTCTACGATAGCGTTGCTATCTCTATAAGCACGTAAGAATAGCTCTTAGCTTTAAGTAGTAGCCTCTTAGCGGCAAGTAAGAACACTAGACAACTATAGCCTATAACTACTATAGTCCTATTACTATCTATAGTAGTTGCGAGCCTATATAGCATAGCTAACCGGACTTAGTAGCCTTCTTTACTGCTATTAGACTACAACCTTCTACGTTAGAAGCCTTAACGCCGGCTCGAAGACCTTTACCTATACCTATAATAGGCTCTTTAGTACTGCCTTTAACTTAATAACTTTATTCTTTAGCTTATCTACTTCTAGCTATAGCTAATTAAACTCCGCTGCGCTAACAACCTCTACCTTGCTTTAAGGGCCTTCTACGTCGGATAGTAACTCTTCCTTTACCTTACCTACTATACGCGCCGACTCCGCCTATTACTAGTTTACTAGGTTTAGGTCTACTCTTAAGTCCTTTACTAATAACTCGAGCTTCGAGACACGCTTAATAAGTGCCTTATAGCGCTTATTCTCGGTAGATAAACGTAGCTTTAATAGACTAGCTAGCGGCACTAATTTGTAGACCTCTTCTACGGTTAATTCTATACTATTCGAACGTAGTCTACGGCGCTGTCTTAACTCTTCTATTAAGCGGAAGCGGATAGGGCCCTATTATATATTAGTCTATATTTATCTATAGAAACAGTCTATAGACCTTCCTAGCAGGTATGCTTAGCGGTATTGTATTCCTTTACTTCGTATAGCTTATAAAAACTTAGTTATAAAGCTAGTCTACTAGAACGACGACTCGTAAGAGTGTCGGCTTCCTAACCTTTAGCTCTACTACGGAAGAACCCGAAGCCCAATCGGACAGTATCGCTATTCGAGGGGCGATGCAGGTTTGTATAGGGCCACACCGGATTTAGCATAGAAGGTGGAACCCGACAAGGGCAGAGCCAGGGTAGGTGTTCGACGGACTTAACCACGGAGGCGGTTAAAGGGATCATCTTCACAACACCTTCAACAATTCTACTCTCCAAGCATCGTCCGCTTGGAAAAACGTCCTCAGAGACTTCGAGCCATCACGCTGTGTGCTCTCTGAATATGACCTGGCAGATGCCGCGTATCATCAGGGGTACCGCTATGCTATGCTAACAGAACAGCCATCCATATTCTCCGCGGCCACGCCCATCCTTCGTTCTGCGCCCACTCCAACTCTACTTGATAAATTTACGAAAACACGCCGACGCTGCACATGAACAGCGGGCAATCTAAAACTGGACGCCTTGCTATTTCAATGCCACCAGCAAGAGCATCCTTCCATTGCTTGCATGCTGTGTGAAAACACGTAGGCACGCACTAGCAGCCACTAGAATATCTGGTCTGTGTGTACGACCTTGGAAGCGAGCTATGCTTCGAAGTTGCATCTTCCAGACATTATTCTGGCGATTGTGTCGGAGTCGTTCCGTTTCCTAGTGGCATCAAGATTGGGACCATTTGCAAAAGGCATCTTTCAAAGCTGAAGACTTGACAAGGACGAGCATGGGGACTTCTCAGCCAGATACTTGCGCATTGCGCTTGTACAGCTTCAGGCTCATGATCTCTCTGCCGACGAACACAGTGCATACTGTAGAATGTGCTGCCAGTAGCTTGTGAGGGCTAGCCGTGGGGACTGATTCCTGAGCCGCTATGAAGTCTGTATGACTGTACCGACATCTACACACCATGAATGATTCGCTACGCTTGCTCAATCCTTCGGCGAGAATTGAGAAGCCGCGCAACTGTTAACTTTGACGACGTTGAAGTCATAAAGCTATTCTACATACGCTAGGACTTTAGCGTGGTTGCGCCTCAAGCGATCTGCGCAGAGGGCCCTGACGATCCGGTGGTATCGTACTGTATAATCCTTCAGCAGGAGAACGCCTGCATCCCTCACACTCCTTGGAGACAACGCCCAGTTCCACTTCGCAGCCGTGTTCGTTGGAATGAGGAACCGGATCACCATCTTCAGCACCCTCTCTTCCTTCCTGGCGCAATACTCGGCAGCGTCTTCTTCTTCTGGTGTCGGAGACTACATCGCGGCTGGACTTCGAAAGGATGCATCGAGCACGACCATAGCTTCTTCGAACTCGGTTTTGACATCCTCATCACCTTCTTTCGCGGCATCCAGGAATACCACAACCAACACTCTTTTCATCAACAGCGATCATGCGGCGTTAATATCATCCACATCATCGTCGGGCGGGATGAGCAATTCACATCACTCCATGGACGTCACCACATCGACAGGCAGCTTTGCACCAGTAACATCCGCGAACAGCTCCATATTCCATTCAAGCACTGGATCAACATCAACGTCCGCGAACAGCTCGATACATCATTTCATGAACCTTGCTGCACCTTCAGTCAGCGCACACAATCTTACGCACTCCAACAGCAGCAGAAACGCATCATTAGACGATAGCTGTTGGAACTCATGGAGCTCCCATTGGAACTTGTTGAATCCTATCAAAACGACATATGTCACGACCGCGGTGTCAACCGACATCCAGCCGGTAACCTCGGACAGCTCTACCGCATTCTGGTATGTGACCGTGGTACAGCTAACGACGGTCACTCAATTTGATGGCGCGCATGCCATTGCCACGAGTGCATTCACAGACACTGAAACCTATTCCTTCCCTTCCACCACGACCATTGGAATCAGCACTGTCACCGAGACCATCACAACGTCAGTGTCCGCTCCAACTGAAGGCATAACAGCGCCTCCTTGCGCATTGCCCTCGTTTGTTCCCCAGTGTCAGAGCTCCTGGGATAGTTACGAGTCATGGAATTGGCAGCTCGCATCCGGCCTGGTCCAGCCCGAATGCGTCCCCCGAACGATCGGGACGATTCAGCCAAATCAAACATTCAGTATTGAATTCCGAAATGAAGGAGCTACGAAGAAAGACCAATCAGTAACATTGCCCTCAGCCCTACTAAAGCTCCTCGTTATTCTCCTCTCCTACGAAGCCCGCACCGCCCTTATCCGAATCGTCGAGTATAATAGAATCTTCCTCTATAGCCTTCTTTGCTCGCATCTTATTAACCTTCGCACCGAAGGATCTTAGAGCCGCATTACCTAGCTCTTCTTTGTCTAGTATCTAATGCTCGATCTGTACCCTATAGGAGTAGTATCGAACTATTCTTACTTTGCGCTTCTAGCCTACCCGATTCTCCCTCGTCTTCGCCTATTTACTCGCTACTAGGTTCTAGTTAAGGTCGGCTATAAGCAATAAGTTCGCTTCGACTATATTATAGCTACGCTTAGCTATACTTACAGAGCAGACGAGAATGTCTACGCCCGACGTCTAGGACCGATTAAACTCTACGATTAGTTATAATCGCTAGCTAGCGTCCTTCGGTACCCTTAAGTTAAACAGCTACGACTTTAGACTAGCCTTCTTGTACGCCTAGATAGAAGTATTAGTATATTACTTTAGCTCTTGTTTACGAAGGCAGAGCTTACTAGATTAATAGTATAAGCTACTACGTTAGAATAGCTTATTACTACGGCCTTGCGGCCCTTATTATCTTTAACGGTGTTAGCCGTCTACTTCTTAAGCTCCGCGATAATGTCCTTAATATATAGGCTTTCTATAAGCTCGTTAAGGAAGTAAGTGTATAGGTCTATATCGGGCTTAAAAAGCTAGCCGAAAGACTTAATCTCCTTTATAGTAAATTCTATTTCCTACTCCTTAGCAGATACCGGCGCGTAGCCTTTGCGCTCTAGATTATTGTTCCTTACCTTAATAAACTTGTTAAGGGCCTTGCTACAGTTCTTCCGTACCTAGTCGGTTATTCGAGTCGGTAAGGTAAGGCCGCGCTTATCTTTAGATAGTAGAGGCGATAGGGTAGTTCGAATTCGTATTCTATAAGAGCCGAGGAAAAACTGCCTCTACGTAACCGCCTTAGCGTTAATCTTTCCTAAACGGATCTTCTAGTTAATGCTCCGCTTTAGCTTTTCTACCTAATTATTCAATTCGTTAATTATATCCTAAGGCAGCTTAATATTCTTTAGCTCCTTATCTGCATTATCTAATAGTCGCATCTTCTATTCGGGCTTTGTTACGTTAAACGGCTAGACCGATTTGTATATCCGCAGTATAAGAAAGTGCCTTAACACTAGCATAAGTAAGTTAGCTATTAGGATTTTAGGCTCCTTAATAGAACCCTTTTTCTAATGCTCTCCGCCTAAAGCTTTCTCGTAGCGATTGATTATCCTCTTAAAGCCCTCGCCTAGAGGCTTACTTCTAAACTCGTTCTATACTTTAAAGTCCTTCTAGTAGTTAGGGTCGGATCGCCCCCTATTATTACGGCGAGCTAAGGCGTCGAAGACTCTAAACTATTCAATTATCGGCTTCTACGTTCTAGCGATTAGGGTGCCTATTACGAAATATACCGTATATTTCGTGTTATAGTTTACGCTTAGCTTGCGAAGCGTACTTATACTGTTCGTATATATTCTATACTCCTCGTTAGCCTCGTCTACTACGATAGCTCTAACTAGTAGAGTGTTGTAGGCCGCGGTTTTGAAATTAGTCGAGCTATTTGCGTAAGGCCTGCCCTCTTAGGTCCTCCTAAACTATACGGTTAAGATAGAGAAATTCCAGTTCTCGTAGAATACGTAGAAACGACCCTTTAGCACGAATACGAGCTTCTTATATAGACCGAGGGGCGCCTTAGTAATAATTGGATTTTGCGCAGAGCCCGGATAGTTAACTCCCTTCCGGTACTTGTCTACTTTAGGAGTCGCAACGCGATTAGGCGCAAAGCGCATTACGTCTCCCCTTTTAAAGAGCTTAATACTATCTATTTCCTCTTTCGCATTATTTATATTAGGCGGGTTGAAGTTATACAGTTTAATGCCTAGCTCCTTAAAGTCCGTATAAGCTAGGAATTTCTTTATAGTATCGGGTTTCAAACCGGCAGTTAGGCACAGAATTATAATGCCCTTACGAAGCCTAAAACTACGCTATAGGTCGCGCTACTTATATCTGCAGGGGACAGAAAACTTATTCGCAGATAGGCATTTCGAATTTTCCGTACCCCGTAGAAGGTGTTTCTCTAAATTATCTCTGTTTTTAGCGTAGTCTTTAAGCATATCGGTAATCTGCTTATAAAAAACGAAGATTAAAAGTTGCTCTATAGTTTTGCCGAGACCTATAATATCGCCTAAGATTCCTCCGGCTTCTCGAGTATACTACGGTCGGTAGAATATAAGCTAAGTAGCTCTAAACACTTAGTAGGCGTATAGCTTTGTCTTAAAGCCTAGTAGGGCGATAGGTGTTTCGGGATCTACGAAAAGTTTAGGCGATAGACGTAGATAGAGGCAGATGCGTTTAACGTGCTCGTACGTTATCTGCTCTAGCTCGGCAGTATAACTCTAGTTAAGATCCCCTACTTAGGTTTGCTTAATACGGTCGAGGAGCTCTTTATAGGTCTAACTTAGAATATAAGGGGTCGCCTCTATCTGCTCCTCTAGGTCGTCCGGCTCCGGAGTGTACGTATCTGCATTAACTATAGGCCGAGCGCGTCTAGCAGTCCTGCTATTCCTTATAGGCTCCGAGTTAGTATTAGAGTCGAGCGGCCTAGCACGAGTATAAGGATCTCGTATACGTTTACTAGTATCTAACCCTCTTCCGTTTCTCGTTAGACTATTATTAAGACCTTTACTTATTCTATACAGTTCTATCGACATATTATCTATAGAACGCTTAGAACCTAAAGGATATAGATAATTTTCTCGAGGAGCGACGATCCTAGGCAAAGCTCCCGGCGCGGCAGTGTCTATAGTCGACTCTTAACTATTTTCCTTAAGTCCGGAACTTTAAGCATTCTTTTAAGCATTCTCTTAACCATTTTCCTTAAGTCTAGAACCTTGAGCATTCTCTTAAGCATTCTCTTAACTATTTTCCTTGAGTCTAGAACCTTAAGGATTCTCTTAAGGATTCTCTTAAGGATTCTCTTAAGGATTCTCTTAAGCATTCTCTTAAGGATTCTCTTAAGCATTCTCTTAAGGATTCTCTTAAGCATTCTCTTAAGGATTCTCTTAAGGATTCTCTTAAGCATTCTCTTAAGCATTCTCTTAAGGATTCTCTTAAGGCGTAGAGGGCACGGCTAGAGCATTCGGCGCGGTAGCGTCTATAGTCGACGTATAACTGTTTATATTAAGTCTAGAACCTTGAGCCTGCTATAAAGATACCGGCGCAGGGGTAGGCGGTAACTTAAGATCTCTAAGCTTAATAACCTTTAGTAGAGCTCTACCGAATAGAATAGGGCGCTTATCGTTAGGCGACGGTATCGATGCCCTCGATAATAGAGGGATACTAAATACGGCGCTGCGTAAGAGTTCGCTAGATTAGAGACCTAACCGCTATCGGCGCTGCTTATAACGACGCTCCTATATCTCTAGGCTAAATAGCAGCTTCTCTCTTAGCTATAAGTCTTCCGACTCTACTAAAGCTATAGTAGCTATAGCGATCGGACTGCTCGCATTCGTTTTCCGCTTCTTCTCGATATGCCTATTAATGTCTCGGCTAAATGTCGCGCGAGCCTTATTATCGAATTTCTTATTTACCTACTCGATAAAATCTAGCTCGTATTCTTATAGCTCTAGTTAGTAGCCGATAAATAGCAGTATTTCAATACCCGCGGCGCCGTATCTACCGGCTGTACTGTATTTGGTAACGGCAGCTTCGAACTTACCGTTATCGGTAATCTTATTCGTATCGTCCTCGCCTAGGTTTACTACTACGATTACGATATCTAACTAGTCGGTAATGTAAAACTTAGACCTTAACCAATCCTCTAGGAGGTTATACGACAAATCTAGGTATAACAATCGATAATTACCTTTATAAACAAATTTCTTTAGAGTCGTAGAGGGCGCTTGCCTAAGATATCCTACTTATAGTATCGAAAATAGTTAGCCGAATAGCTATACGACAAGTACTATGTCTAACCGATCGACTACGGCTAGCGTAATAGTATAGGTATTCCTAGCCTAGGGCGTCTAGAGTCTTCTAGTAGATATAGGGAATGTAGATCCCGGCTACTATGTTTGCAATTTTCGACTAGTAGCAAAGTCTCGACTACCCTAATCCTAGACGCTGTTTACATCCCCGCCGCTAGGGTTTGCTTCTATTAGAAGGACTTCACTTACCGCCTTGTTGTTTAATGTTGTCTTTGATAAGCTCGCTAACAATAGTATAGGTCTTAGGCGGCGGCTAGATAATAGCGTAGGTGTTTAACTAGGCTCGCGCTTAGGCGTGTCTTTATTAGTCTATTGTTGCTTAATAAAGATAGACTACCCTTTACGGATCTTAGAGTCCGATATACCTAGACTAATAGCGCTGCTTAGGTAGCGGAGGCAAAATTCTACGGCGGCGCGATACTGCTCCTTCTTATTGTTATTATCCTTCTAAGGGCCCTAATTTCTTATATAGCGATTGAGAATTTTCTGCTCGTCCTTAAGCTTGCCGTCTAGGAGACCCTACTAATCGTAGACGTAACGCTTTACTATGCTATTTCCTACTATATAGTCGGAGTAATTTGCGGGTAGCGCGTCGTTGTTAGGAACAAATAACTATACGACGAGTATGTCGATTTCGTCCTCTATAAAGTAACGGCGCTAAGGTGTTAGAGCTAGTAGTGGCGGCGTCGCAGCGGGCTCCGCTATAGTAGCGGCGGCCGTAGTATGCGGTTATTAAAGCGAAGGTATAGTTGTCGCGGTTGTAGCGACCTAGTATTGTTTTAAGCTTCTAAATTAGCGAGGTAAGCTTTCGTTAATTTAGCATCTACGCAAGTGAAGCCGTTACGAAACCGTTTGCTTAGTAACAGGGGTTCGCATTGCATATACGCGCTAGCAGAATCGTAATCTATTACTGCTAGCTGCTCCCTGTCTATGCCTCTTATTCGATACCCTCCCTTACATTACTAAGAACTATCGCGAATTAATACTAACTATAACTGCAAGTATTTTAGACCTTTAATGTTACTCCTTACCCTTTCTAAATACTAAGTCTAACTCGTAATTAGCCTCTCGATGTTTTCTGCATATACTAGTACGTGTTTTAAAGTGATTCCTTAACTGCTCGGTAGACAATCGTATAAGGTTAATACTACATCCTTTGTCGCAAAACACTGCTTTGCGATTATAGATTGCTCTTTTATCCTATACAATGTAATTAATAACTATATATTAAATAAATGCTAGCCGATCTCCTTTGAAGTCGCAACCCTCCTCTCGGCACTCGAGGTAGTCTAGTCTACGCTATATAACAATAAGGTTCATCTACGTATAGACATTATTGCGTTCCTTATCTCCTAACTATAGTAGTTCTAGATAGGGAGGGTTATAGGGACAGTCCTTTCCTTTACTAGAGCGACCTTTTCTACTATAATAGTACTTCCGATCTAAGTTTTCGGTATAACTCTCTCTCTTAATGTAGAATAGATTCGCATAAGAATTGTTCCTATATAGGTGTAAATGCTTACGATGGTCCTAGACTTCTATAGCTGTATATAGGGATAGCCCTATATAGAACATCTTGAATATCGGAGCAGTTAGCGTATAAAAACTGCTATAAATGCATTTTAGGTCGAACGGCTATACCTAGAAGTCGTAAAACGTAAAAGATCCGGAATTGCTTGTATAGTGTTTACCGGCTTTCCTATCCCTTTTGAGTAGTAGTATACAGCCAAATTCGTAATAGAAGGTTTAGATCTTTTCGAAGTCGGCCTCTGTAATCGTATACTCTCTACGCTATTGCAGATTAAGGCCTAGATTAGTGAAGTATTGCTAGACGAAGCTTCTATAGCGCCGTTATACGATGTCTTGCGAGAACATCTATATTATACACTTCGAGGCGTTATTGAGTCTTACGAACTCTTCCCTATATATCTCGCCTAGCGCTAATATATTAATATACTTACGTCGCTCGTGCTATATAGAATGTTCCGTAGGTGTAGTAATTGTAGCGACACTATCCCCCTTAGCCTAATTGCTATACGCCTTTAGATTAGAGCGATAAGCTTACGTAGGTGCAATTAATGCCCGAGCGAGTGCTTAAGCGACTATATCGGATAATACTCGAGTAGACTAACGCCCGCCTATAGTAGTACGATTACGACTAGGAGCGATAGGCACGCTCGTCGGCACATTTAGTATACTGCTAGCTATAGCAGATGTTCTATAAGCAGGTTAAGAGGGTTTTACCGCGGGTTTTCGTATTAGCTTCTACGGCGGGGTTTCCTAGATCTAATTTAGCGAGCTCTATAGAATCTCTAGCAAGGTACTATAGTCAGACGAGGCAATAATACCTAGGACGTTAGGTAGAAGTGCTAATAGGCTCTGTATCTCGTATATTACAAATCTCTTCTACTTCTTTGTAGGAGGTGTCTACAATTCGCCCTAAATCTCTATATCGCGTTTCGTACCTCGTATATCTATATAAGATTGCTACTATACCTAGCGTAGCATATAAGGCTAGTTATTATTTCGACCTATTATACTAGCTCGTAGTCTGCCGCTAGTTTGCTTAGCGTTAATATTAGCGGTATACGTATCTTAGAGTAGCTTAGGAGTCGTAGATTCTAGGCTGTTATTAGCAACTAGAGCAACTCCCGTAAGATAGATAAGATCCTCTCTCGTTATTCTTACTCTCCCGTGCCTTCGGAGTACTCTTATAGCGGATGCAAAATTCGATAGCGAGAATTAGGCGGTATAGTTGCACTTTAAGAGCCTCGTAAGCTCGCTAAGCTATACGTGCTTATCCTTACATCGCTCTAAGATATCGATAATCGTATATATAAGAGCTATAGCGGGTTTACGTTTTATTGTTAGAGAGGCTATATCGGAGCCCCGATATAACTCTATATTAGGTCGAGGTAGAGAGACGGGCTCCGTATCGTCTAGCGATCGCTTCGGCTGCTAACCGTAAGCAGATATTAGAGAGTCTCTGCTATATATACTAATATCGCGGCGTCTGTTATTATAAGGACTTAGTGTATAGGTAATCTAAGAGGGGCTATCTCGCTTTCTAGATATTGTATAGTAAGCAGCTAACGTACTGCCTTAAGGAGCATTAGGATCTTAACGAGCATCAAAGTCTTAACTAGCATTAAAGTCTAGAGGAGCATTAAAGCCTAGAGGAGCTAGCAAATCTTAACCGGTATCAAAGTCTTAACTAGCATTAAAGTCTAGAGGAGCATTAAAGCCTAGAGGAGCTAGCAAATCTTAACCGGCATTAAAGTCTTAACTAGCATTAAAGCCTAGAGGAGCTAGCAAATCTTAACCGGCATTAAAGTCTTAACTAGCATTAAAGTCTAGAGGAGCTAGCAAATCTTAACCGGCATTAAAGTCTTAACTAGCATTAAAGTCTAGAGGAGCTAGCAAATCTTAACGAGCATTAAAGTCTTAACTAGCATCAAAGTCTAAAGGAGCTAGTAAATCTTAACCGGCATCAAAGTCTTAACTAGCTACTAAACGTCGAGGAAGCTACGAATATCGAGGAGCTAACAAGTCTTAAGGAGTAGTAACGTCTTAGGAGTACTCTAAATTTTAGTAGCGCTTCGACTACTAGAGAGGAAGCTGCTCTTTTCTCGCCGGTCTTAGCGCCTACTCTATTCTAGACGGTCTCGGCGCCTACTGTTTTGTCGACGGCCTCGGCTCCTACTCTTCCTCTTCCTCTTCCTCGGTATCGAAGCCGTACTATTCTAGGTATTCTTCTACTACCGCAGTACTAACATTCTTACGAATAGGTACGCCGAAGTTTGTACTACGTAACTAAGTAGGCTAGGAAGGTTCTAACTCTTAAGCTCGTTGCTTTAGTTCGGTAGATAGAGGTAGCGTATTGCCCTATACGTCGGTAGCAGGCCTAGTCTTCTATATATTAGTAAGCGGTATGCTAACTACTAGGTACTACTAACCTTCTTTCCGCTAGTACGTATGCTTCCCGTCTATAACGTGCGTAACTTTGCAGTAGCTTTCAAAAGTGACTCCTTAAGGTATTTGAGGCTCGCGAACTTATCCTTTAGATCGTCGTAACGTACTAACTAAATTCTACTGTCGATCTATTACGCGAGTTCTGTTTCTATAAGTAGGTACTAACCAGTACTAGGAATGTGCTGTCCGTAGGCTCTAACTTGCTCTCGGAGCTTAGCGATGTCCTACGCGAGCTAATAGCTACGGATTAAACGACGTCTCGTTAATCTCCTCTAGCTCGTAAACGGCGTAGAAGTTATTGTCGGTAGTTGCGGTTGTAATCCTCCGAAGGATCAGTTTAGAGATTCGTACCTAGTAATACTACTAGCGGCGGAGTGCACGAAGTCTAATCACCATTCTGCTTAGTTTAGTGTAATTATCCGAGGTGTATCTACTTGCGCTTACCTTATTGTCTATTGCCGCCGCCGCTATTGCCTCTATTTTTAGATTACTACTAAAAGTCCTACTATTAAACAGCCGCCGCAGTCTTCTAGTAAGAATCGCCGGTCGTTAGTAAATACGCCTACTTACTAGTTACTAGGTTATAATATATCGATTAGCGGCGACTACTATAGTATATATTGTCGTAGGTCTAATAGCTACGATATAGGCACATTCGCGACGACTATTAAATAGTAAAGACCGCTTAGTATAGTAGGCGTAAATAGAAAGCGCTATTAGTAAAAGACTTAGTATATAACGTCTATTAAACTACTATCGTCTAAGGAATATATGCTATATTAAAAGTGCCGTCGTCTACGTCGTACGTATTCTAAAGTACTAAGTTAGTAACCTATATAGGCTTAAATTGCGATAGTAGAGGTACCTTAAGCGATAGCGGAGAATAATAGTAACTATTTCTATACTAATTAGTATAGAGACTAGTCGCTATATACTCTATTATACGTTAGGTCGCTACGTCTAGCGTAAATAGGCCCCTTACTAGCGGCGGTCGTTATAGATAGTAAGGTTATTACTATAGGTAGACTATCTCTTAAATACGACTACTAATCGATAGTAATACGCCTATACCTAGATTAACCTACGCCTACTATATAGCAAATAAGATACTATCTTTATATCGCTACTAATAATACTAGAGATACTATAATAGCTATACTATCGCTAATAGGCGTATATATCTAGTATAATACTACCTAGTAGTATCGTCTCGATAGGCTAGTAATATCTAGTATAATACTATCTAGTAATATCGTCTCGATAGGCTAATAATAGGCACGCTAGTACTAATATTTCCGCCCTCCTAGCCTTCTAATAGTAGTTATAAGTAATATTCCTAGTAAGACTATAAATTAGAAGATAGCGGTCCTTTAGTATAGTACTAGCAATACTACTAACTTTCTCGTTATTACTATCTTTAATAGGATTATTACTATCTATAAGCTACTCGCTATAAGTCTTCGTCGAGCTAATATTACTACTAAAGCCTTTAGGGTCGAAGAAACAGTTAGTATAGCAATCTACCTACTTCGCGGTTATACTATCGCCTAGAATCTCTTAATTATATAGTTATACTAGGTATAGCGATATAGCTAGTACTACTACTTCTAATAGGAGAACTAGTTATTAGAAGTAGTAGTATATATCGGGGAGTTAGTTATTAAGTTGTAGCTAATATCGTATCTAGTTTAGAAGACCTAAATTAGCCTTCTTCTAAGCTAGTCGATATTACTTAGTAATAGCCGTTTAAAGGTAGTATAGAAGTTTATAGAAGCGCTTATAATAGTACTATAAAATAGCTATTATAATATAGTAGTATACTAGTACTGTATTCTAGGTATAGGCTGCCCTAAGGTATGCCTAGTCGCAGTATAGGACGAAATTCTATAAATATTAAAGTTTAGGTATAGGAAAATTAAATAAAATATAGCTAGTATAGAGTAGCTTAATTAATATATACTTTTTAAAATTAGTTAATCTAAGATTAAAGCTATAGCAGATAGATTTCAAACTATTGTAAGGATGTACTAAAAGTATATAGGGGTTTGTTATTAGAAACGTCGGGCCGCGGCAGTCGCACTGCTACTTGCGCGCTTCCGTTCCCGCCTCCGCTCCCGCTAATACCTTTCTTTCTTTCCTTCTTCCTCGCCCCGAATACTGTCTATATAGTACTCGACTCCTTATAGATCTTGCTAAAAGTCGTGCCTAGCACGCTTAAATTATGCCCTGTATATACCCGGCCTAACTCCTTATAGATCTCGCTAATAGAAGAAGTCGTACCTAGTACGCTTAAATCATGCCCTGTATATACCCGGCCTAACTCCTTATAGATCTCGCTAATAGAAGAAGTCGTACCTAGTACGCTCAAATTATGCCCTATATATGCCCGGCCTAACTCCTTATAGATCTCGCTAATAGAAGAAGTCGTGCCTAGCACGCTTAAATTATGCCCTGTATATACCCGGCCTAACTCCTTATAGATCTCGCTAATAGAAGAAGTCGTGCCTAGTACGCTTAAATTATGCCTTACATATACCCGCCTAACTCCTCGTAGATCTTGCGTAGGCCGCGCGAATAGTAGGCACCTTTACGCGGTGCGCGGTATAAGTAGCGAAAGCGAAACTGAGACCTGCTAGCCTATATAGCGAACATAGCTTCCGTATTCACTCGGAGTTATATTAGCAAAAATCTCAAAAATTGGACCCTTAAAGTTCTTAACCTTTAAAGTTCTTAGACCCTTAAAATTCTTAACCCTTAAAATTCTTAGACCCTTAAAATTCTAGACCCTTAAAGTTCTTAGACCCTCAAAATTCTTAACCCTTAAAATTCTTAACCCTTAAAATTCTTAGACCCTTAAAATTCTTAGACCCTTAAAATTCTAGACCCTTAAAATTCTTAGACCCTTAAAGTTCTAGGACCCTTAAAGATCTTAGACCCTTAAAGATCTTGGACCTTTAAAGTTCTTAACCTTTAAAGTTCTTAGACCTTTAAAGTTCTTAGACCCTTAAAGATCTTAGACCTTCAAAGTTCTTAACCTTTAAAGTTCTTAGACCTTTAAAGTTCTTAGACCCTTAAAGATCTTAGACCCTTAAAGATCTTAGACCTTTAAAGTTCTTAGACCTTTAAAGTTCTTAGACCTTCAAAGTTCTTAGACCTTTAAAGTTCTTAACCTTTAAAGTTCTTGACCCTTAAAGTTCTTAGACCTTCAAAGTTCTTGGACCCTTAAAGTTCTTAGACCTTCAAAGTTCTTAACCTTCAAAGTTCTTGACCCTTAAAGTTCTTAGACCTTTAAAGTTCTTAGACCCTTAAAGTTCTTAGACCCTCAAAGTTCTTGACCTTCAAAGTTCTTAATCTTCAAAGTTCTTAACCTTTAAAGTTCTTAACCTTCAAAGTTCTTGACCCTTAAAGTTCTTAGACCCTCAAAATTCTTGACCCTCAAAATTCTTGACCCTCAAAATTCTTGACCCTCAAAATTCTTGACCCTCAAAATTCTTAGACCCTTAAAATTCTAGACCCTCAAAATTCTTAGACCCTTAAAGTTCTTGACCTTTAAAGATCTTGGACCCTTAAAGATCTTGGACCCTTAAAGATCTTGGACCTTCAAAGTTCTTGACCTTCAAAGTTCTTGGACCTTCAATTTGGAAACGAACGATGATCATCTGCCAGAGGGCGACGTATTCGAAGAACTAGTCTGTGGCTTACATACTCTCAACTCAAACCAAGGCACGAGTAAATCTCGCGTTGGCCCGGCACCAAGTTGTACCCAAGCCACGGTTACAGGCGAGTACTGCAGCAAGGAGATCAGCAGGTTTCTGCTGAGCAATTCGCTGGCTCGGATATCTAGAACTTTTGCGGGCTGGACCGTCACAACGCTGTCCGACAACTCCACTGCCACCGTGTGGCCTCCTGATCGCAGCTTTGCACCAGGTTGCACAATGGGCTGCCAACAATGTCGCATTACTGGAAGCTCGGTCGAGCTCTTCTGGTGGCCGCCTCAGACTGCCGCTGATGATGGGTTGCCCGTCACTGCGGTCGGGTTTGGCACCACCTTCACCAGTCCCACGGTTTACATCTCGTTTGACACGCTCTTCGCTTCCGACTCCTGCAGTGGCGTGGGCAAGACGTATTCAAGCACGATCCTCGCCATCCCAAACTCCCGGGACATCTCCAGTCTGTGGGGGATGAGCCTGGTCAATGGTCTACAGAGCACAGCTGCTTTCAACTACACCGATTTACTGCACACCGATCCCGTGCCAACCAGTATCTTCAACCGACAGCCGAGATGCGTGTCATCATGGTGGTGGCAGAGCACGATCGCCGGTCCGATCGACGAGTACGACTGCGCTCGAGATTATCCTTGGAGGCCAATCCTCGCTCTTCCTCGTGAAGTGCAAGCCATCGACCCAGAATGGGCGAATTGCGTCGGAGGCATCGAAGGAGTTTACGATCCACCCATCGCTCTCACATCCGCTCAAAGCGCTTTCAAGCCAACACTTCCGCACGAAATTCCTCCATCAACTACAGAATCCGCGGCCCCCAAATCGGCGCACGAATCTCCGCCTGTTCAAACGAATCCCCCCAAGTTCACCTTCGATCCCATCACGACTGCGGATCCACCAAGGCAGAAAACACACGCCAAACCACAGAATTCCGAGCCCCCGCCGCAACATCAAGATCCAGATACTCCTCAATCCCATCACCACCCCAGCGACTCATCACCATCATCACCCATCTCCAAAACCCTCCTCTCCCTCAACGACATAAACCCCACAGCCCCACACCTCCACCCCTCCGAGATCGCCGAACAACCTCCAACTCAGAGCCAAACCACCACGAGCCAACCCCCAGTCCCCGAATCCGCCATCGTCGTAAACGCACACACGGCACGCTTCGCATCCCAAGTGAGCCCGGAACCTTTGCCTTTGATAGAAATCCACCTGGGTTCTGAAATTCTCACTGCAAAACCAAGAGGGCCCGGGACGCCTGGAGGTGCCGTTACGGTGGAGGGGTATACGATTCGTGCGGGAAGGGGGAGTAGAACCCAAGCCAAGCTCACGTTGGGCTCCCAAGTCCTCACCGCTGCGCCTTTGCCTTCTGACGAGGTGCTGGTGAATGGGCATACACTGTCTTTGGGGCAGGGGATCGAGGTTTTTGGGCAGGGTTTTACGGCTGTGCGGGAGGGGGATGGGAAGACGGCGACGTTTGAGGTCCAGGAGGTGTGGGATGGGAGACAGAAGGGTTCTGAAACTCATCGCGAAAACGTAATAGCGACGTCGAGTATGAAGGTGTCTTCTACGCACTCGGTCGATGCAGCTACCACGAACTCCAACGGTTCGAGCAGAAATTGGAAAGGAGGCTCTAGTGTTGGGTGGATGATGGCCGTTCTTGCGATGTATATGTACGTCTAGCAAGATTGCCAATATGTATATACATGCATAGGTAATAATAATAATACCTAAACTTATATCTAAACAATCTCGTTCTCATTCCTAATTAGAAATCCTATTACGAAAGGGATAGATATTATTTAAAAAAGAAAAGAAGCAGGAGTGCTCTAAAAATTGCAAAACATACAACACGAGGGATTCCCCAGTGGTCACCCACCTGAGTACTAGTCTCGCGGTTAGCTGCTTAAATAGGGGAGAGCGAACGGGATCCCTTGTTCTCAGCTACCTATGGCCGTATGTACTTGGTACCGATTTCTGTGCGATTATATCGCCTCACTACCTGATAACCGACTTCCCGCAAGACTGCAGGCGAAGCAAGCAACTGTTACGAAATACCTTGGATGAGATTCGTAAAGCCTAGTAGCGAAGTTCATAGATTCGTGTTCATTATATATATCATGCTATGCTATCGATACTGTCTCTCATGCTGCAAAACCCTCACAGGCTGCTTCTCGCTCGGCGTCCCAATGGCCACAAATCCAAAAGGATCATCAGGCCGTACATCGCCCAGCCGGACCAAAGTATTCCTCAATCTGTGAGCTTTCTCGCAGCCGTCTTCCATGCTAGAGCCTGCCTCGACATGCATGTATGGACTATGTCGGAGGACACTGACGAAATCTTCCAAAATGTCTGGACCTCTGCGGGTCGCGTCTAGATATGCTGTTGCGAGGCCGAGGAAGAAGAGGAGGATTGAGATCGCGACTAAGATTTCCATTAAAGTGGTATAACAGCGGAGGACTTCAGTTTCGATCCGCGTTTGGCCTGGGACTGTGGCATGAAGGCTGTCCTCGTAGATGTTGTTGAGAGTGAAGTTGCCTGTGACTGAGTACTGTGCTACGTTGTCCATCCAGTAGGTGTTGAGAAGCTGCGTGAGACGGTGCGAGAATAGCTCGTTACCCAAATCATGCAGGGCATATGGTGTGTTGTCAAAGGAGCACTGATAAGGGTTCTCTGGGTGAACAAAGTAGCATTCGATCGGCGAAAGACCAGTAGGATTCTGGGTCGTGTTGCCAGTCGCGGCGATGAAGCCGGAGAAGAAGAGCTGGGGTATCGATTGCCTCACCGAAAGGCTAGAGTCATTGAAAGGCGGTGTGATGCCATCTAGCTGCGATAGAGATGAAGATGGATGATCCAGCAGTGAGGCTCGTACAGCTTGAACACTGCAGTTATTGCCACTGGAGCAATAGATGTTCGCTTCAACATAGGTTGTGCTCAGGCCGCAGGATGCTTTTGTGATGTCGCCAGAGCCACCAGAATGTCCGCTCCAAGAAGTGAGCTGAATGATCTGTGGTGCTGTGCTGTTCAGGGTATGGTTCGTGTCATACTGGAGCGAAAATTGATGTCCATTCGACACGATGCCCTGCTCCTTGTTGATGCCTTGCGGGAAGTCTGAAGCATCTGACGTCTTGCCATCCTGAGAAGTCTTGCAATCGAGGTAGAAATAGCTTGTCTCGATGTTGAACTGCGACTCAGTATTCACGACTTCGCCGCTCTGTGCGCCAAATAATCGTTCCTGCAGCGTTGATAGCGACATTGTTGTGTTTTCGGTAGCTGACCTATTCGCTGCACCGGGACCAGGAGGAATTACTGGAATACCACGAAGGAACGGAATGCCAGTGAGGGATGCATAGACCAGTGTATTCGCATTCCCATTAACATCGGCGTCATTTGGTACGTTTAAGAAATCCTCTAGCTCCGCCAGAGCTTTGCTGGTCGCATTCAGCTCCACCAACTGTCCTGTGCGATACCATCCAGCGGAATCGGCTTTCTGATGTTCTTTCAGCACTTCAAGCAAGGGTATCTGTAGACCACCGAATAAATCCTGTGAGCCATTTTTCGAAGTGGCAGGACTGAAGAGCGCAGTGGTGAAGGCAGAGTTGATCGGTGCTAAGCGGTTTGACTTGTTAGTGAGTTGGAATGGCGAATCGTTGAAGTCCACATAGTGGAAGTTGGTCGCAATGGTGGTGTAATTGGCATCTTTGGATACGGCCTTCAAGGAAAGCTGACCTCCCACAGGATTAAGACACCAGAAGAGGAAGACGGCAAGCGCGACAAGACCCATGGATCGATGTTTGAGGGGCGTAAGAAAAGACGCCCCGAATGAGCGACTGCCCAGCAGATGTTCGAGTGTACCAATCGTGGCACCGCGCTCGAGCTTGAATTGCGCGCATGCTTTCATGAACTTGGCCACGATCAAAGTGAAGATGATGGGGAATATCGTTGGATTCTGCGCGGCCAGTCAGCGGAGTGTTTCATGTCTGCTGAGCCTTGTCGACACTCACAAATCCCGCCATCTTGAAGATGATCTGATTGAGCGGCAAGCTCGCCATGGTGCCATTCTGCGCGTAGGCCAGGAAGCCGAACACGGCAAAGTATAGCACGCATGACGATATCAAGATGTCGAACAGTGCGGCGCCCCAGTTTCGGCCATTTGCAGGCTGTGTCGCGCCTTTGTATGCATCCACATCCTCCCTCGATCCGTACACCTCTTTCGCACGCGAGGATACTTTCCCGCTCTTCTCAGACCGTCCCTCCAAGGAGTCCAAGCGGTAGTTGCTACTGCTCTTGACCAATCCTTTCTGGCTCTCGGCACGCGACTGAACGCTCTGCGCTCGTTTCCTCTGATCCATGTTGCGGTATCGCGAGCACCTTCTCTAATACTCGGTAAAGGAAACGAAGAAACGCAAGTACCAGGTGGGAGGACGGTGGACCAATGCTCGACATCATAGCTTAACTTACACCCCAGATCTTCCTGGGACGTGCGTAGGGCATAGCGGCATCGTATAATCCACGCGCCATCTGGACGCGATACAAGGAGCATCCAGCCCAGCATGCCGACTGACGCGCATCGTGCCACTACTGCCGCATGGAGCGCGTTCTGGCGAATTGACACCGCCCAAATGGATCAGCACGGACCGACGTGGAAGTGAATGGTCTTGACTCTCGATGGCGTAAAACAAATAATAAGCCGGTGGGTTGAAGACGTCCCTGAGGGAAATCCTTCGTATTCAGAAATGAAGCGGAGGATTAGCGCGTCTGGGGTGAACAGCCAATGACTGTTCAGCCACATGAGCCATTCGATACCAACATCCATGCTGTCGACAAATTTCAGACACTTCTGCAATTGCACTCCGATAGGAAAGTCTCTGCAAAGTATAAGGCAAGCAAGGTTATCCGAGCACAAGGCGAATCAAGAAGAAAACCTTATACTGTTGAATAAGTCTCTATCTAGAATATGCAGCGCTCTCTCTCGCATCTCGACAATAATCTACAGCTTCCCTCCATTCACGGCAGCCGGCGTGATGGGGAACAGCTTGTTGAAAATATTCGTAGGATCATACTTCGCCTTAATCCCTCGCAGACGCTCATAATGATCCCCAAAAACATCCTGAGACATCTCATCGTATTGCTAAAGTTCTGTTGGCCTTTCCTCTCAAACCCAGCGGTGAGGGCAGCACTCACATCATAATTTCCATAAAGCATCGTGGCGCCCTTCTTCCCTCTCCTTGCGGCGCCAGCGCCCGTATCCTGTCCTTGAGACTCAAGCTCGACCTTGAAAAGATTGCTCATGTCTCTCGCCCATTGTCTACACGTGGCATCGTGCTCGATCGATGACCAAGTGGGCATCACAAGGCCATTGAGATGGTGGCCGCGATTCGCAAAGCTCCCGACGCCGCTCTTTGTCATTTCCGTGGCATCGTAGTACTCGAAAGCTACTAATGAAGCCACAGCGTCTGGAGTCTGGGATAGGAATTCGTCGTACTTGCTGATGAGCTCGAGGGCAAACTCTGGACGCACTGGCATAAGGTACGCGGCGCCTTTCATGCTACTTCGCATGCCTTGAATTGTAGGCACTAGAGCGTTGACCTTGGGATATGGCTGCATCGCCATGGTATTTTCCACTGGACCGAGATCTAGGAATGGCTTGAATACTTCCTTGCCCTCATCTTCAGTTCCATTGAAGGCGGAAAGTAGGAGAATCATAGTCTGACCACCAGCCGGAGGTGGTTTGGCCAGGGCTAGCAAACTGCCACATCTGCCCTTCGCTTTTGCTTCTGCTCCATTCGGGCTCTCCTTCACCTGGTACAGATCGTTGAGATTTTCAATTAGTCCTTTTACGATCTCCGGTACAGGTGGGAAAATCATCATGCCTGCCCAGAGTTCGTCTTGCGGATATGCTTGGAACACGAATTCTGTAGACACACCAAAGTTTTGGCCAGCACCGAGCAGGGCCCAGAACAGCTCGGGATGCTGATCTTTGCTTGACTTCACGATTGATCCATCTGCGAGCACAGTGGTGATCGAGATGACATTGTCGATGACCAGGCCATACTTGCCAGTCAAATGACCATAACCTCCTCCCTAGACGGCGATGACAAGAAGATCAGTGAGTTTCTCAGGCTTTGTTGGGTCTTTGTCTTACTTACCAATGTCAGTCCGCCAACACCAGTATCCGCGACCGTGCCGCCAACCGTAGCAAGGCCGTATTCCCACCCCGCTGCATCAACATCAGACCAAAGAGCACCGCCTTCCACATGAAACCGCTTCTCGCCCACATCCACTTTGACATTTCTCATTCGCCCCAGGTTAATGAGTACACCACCATCAGTACTGCTGGCTCCAGCTGTAGAATGGCCGCCGCCTTTGACAGCCAGGTCCAGATTGTTGTCAGAGGCGTACTTGACCGCGATCGATACTTGTTCGGAATTCGTAGGCTCTACAGAAAATCCTGCTGCCTTCTCTGCAGCTTTGGACCAGCGTGCTATAGTTTCTGAGTAGCCTTCGTCAGAAGGGCCGATCACTCTGGCATTGGTCTTCGCTAGAGCTTGTTTGAGAGCCTCGACATCGGCCGAGGTGGCGCTGCGTTTTGTTGCCATTTGCAGGCACTGTACTTGTCTCCTTCTGTCCCAAAATTGTGTATTGTGTGCTATCGGCAGCAAATCTGATTTCCACACAGCTTTCAGCTCTGTGCAGGATCAAGTGAGGTCAGCCGCACAAGAATATTTCATCGTGGAAGGATTAGTCGCCGGGTCAGTCGAGAGCCAGAGGCACACGCTGTCCAAAGCCTAGTTACTTTCTGCGAAAGTCGTGAAGTGCCACACAGCAGTCATCAGCTCCTTCCGCTGCTCAGCTGAGGCTTACTGTAGGATTGTGGGTGGATACTGCACGGAGCGTGAAGAGGGGTCAAGATTACAGATCACAGCAGAACGAGCTCGTATGCCATCATAACATCCCACCTGCCTGCGAATCGGGCAGAAAGTCTTGCTCTGTAAATAGTACCAGTTTGGGCTCGCAGTCCACGCTGTTTGAAAAGAATTAAGGCACTGACAGTAAAATATGTAATGAAGATGTTGGCTATCTAACCGACGCCAGCGCATGTTTTGAATTGAGATTTGCATAAGCGGGACCGTGCATCGATGGCAAGAAAGTTTTCGCTGTCCTTCTCTACAGGAGCAGAATAGTATCCAATTGAAGCACGACATCTTCCACGACTTATCCTTCCAGAGAGCACTCATACGCGATGCTTTCGCTGCTCTGCACCGAAAGAGCAAAGACGCGAGTACGAACGCAACATAGTTTCCAAGTGAAATGAATGTCTCGAATTCCTCATGTCATTCGGGCATGCTTCAGGCGAAGAGGAGAAGTCAAAGAGCGGATATATGGACGCAGCTGTCCCGTTCTATTACTGCTGGTCTAGCAATCTTTCCCAAGTCAAAGGAAAATGTCTCTGTAAAGCCAGCCTCAAACAGTGCCCGAGCTTCAGCATTGTCATTGTCGCCTCGTCACTCTGCGCTATGGTCTTGCGTCGCAGGGGCTCCTTGTGCATGATGCTCTTGGTCGCACCTGTAGTCTCCAGCTCATCAGTGTCCTCGACGCTCTTCAACAGCAGCATTGCGAGTCGCATATCGTCCTCCTTTTCGGGGCTGGGATTCAATTCCAGAGTTGCATCGGAGAAGGATATCCTGGCTGTTCCAAACTCTTGAAGTGCATCCTGAACTCTGTCAATCCGTGTGTTCAGTCTGGCCATACGCGCTACGGATACAGCCAAGTGATGTGCATTCTCGTCTTGATTCATTGTGCTTATTTTCCCCATAGAAGGAAGTACTTCCCGGATCCTCTGTCTTTTTCACGCATTTTGTGATGAGGAAGGCTTGTTATGAATATGTGTAGTGTTTGCTGACTTGCGGCATCTCTTCCTTTGTGTTTCGCTTGCTGTGCCTGCCATGTCGATGAAGTGAGGCCATTGATTGAATGAGAAGAGAGCAAGGAGCTCAAAGGGAAAATTTCAACGCGTATGCAATGATCTATGCAGTGCGGTCTCAGCGATTGGCAAGTGAATGAACTGAATGGCTGGTCACAGGCCGCAGCAGCATGTGCCAACCGTTGGCATATGCAGGTCCCAGCTGCGTCCAATACCCAGTTGCAGTGGTATGTGAATGAAAGAGGGAAGCAAGGAAGGTTATTCGGCTAAAGAGGGGCCCGCGGCATGGACCCTTGTCGGCAAGCCAAATTCGGCAAGTCCGATCAAAGTCAGCGGCCGGCGGCCTGAGGTTTCTTCTTCGAATGACTTCACTCCAACTCAACATTTTTTGTGTCATCACAGTCGCGACGAAACATCTTCCCCACCCTTGAAGCAATTGTGGAGACAAAGAGGACATTCAGTTGCTGATTCAGGACGGCCGATGTCCTGCGCATAAAAGATCAAAAAAAAATATGGCGCCAAATTCGCGAATAATCCTAACACGGCATGCGCAAGCAGAGCATAATGTCGACTTGGATTACTACAGTAAGCAAGCAAGCAAGCAACAAGCACAATCTCCGAAAATTTTCGATTCGAGTCGCAAGCTGAAAGATTCTCACAGTCCCCGACGCCCCTTTAACCGCGCTCGGCAAAAAGCAAGCAGCATCTCTCGCCACACAACCGAAAGTCAAGCAGCTAGCCCAAGAAGTAGACCTAGTCGTCACCTCGCCTTTAAAGCGCACATTACAAACCACCAAACTAGGCTGGAAAGACGCAATCGACCGACTCGGAGGTCTGCGCAAAGTGATTTGCCTCCCACAAGCCCAAGAATGCAACGACTTCCCCTGCGACACCGGTTCCTCGAAAGAAAATCTCGAAGCCGATCCAGAATTCTCGGGTTTTGACCTCTCTCTACTCACACCAGATTGGACTTCGAAGAAAAATTTCTGGGGCCCGGATGCCACGTCGATTCGATTGCGAGCGAAATGGGTCAGGCGGTGGTTGAGGGATCGGCCTGAGAAGACGATTGTTTTGGTTGCGCATGGAGATATTTTGCGGCAGTTGACGTGTAGTGAGACGGGACCTAGTGGTTATATGTGGAGGAATGCGGAAGCGATGGTTTTTGAGTTTGATCGGGATACTTTGGAGGATTTGTGTTTGTTTCGATCTGAGAAGGGGAGGTCGGTGGCTGTTGCTGGGGGTTATGGACCGAGCTCGACTGAGGCGGATATTGGTAGGCTTTGAGTAAGTGGCTCGCGAACGTTGATGGGATTGAATGCTAGAATGCGGGAATGTATGATGATAGAGCAGAGTTGGATGGATGATACAGATGGGGGAAGCGTTTACGACCTTACGACGGCAACTTTGCATCGCGCATCAAACATCCTTGCAAATTTTGCGGTACGTCCGGACCGTTCCAAATAACATTGAAACCATCACTTCAGGCTGTCTCCCTTCAGACGCTCCTCCTTCACGTTATTGGCGAAGCTACGCTCCAGCGGAGTCAGCTCTCGTGCCTTCCGCTGGAGGTCCGAGTGGAGACAGACTTCGGGAGGCGAGTTTCACCGTCAAGCAAAACTTCATGCTAACTGCTTCCTCAAATTCTTCACATACATTCAAATCACGTATTTGGTGTGTGGTAATGACTCTGGCAGCATATGCAAAATTTCCGGGGGTATCTACGAAAGCTAATAACAGCGCGGCTAAGAGGTATCTATCTAATACGAAGGAGGCGGAGTGAGATTGTTTGGAGTCAACTCATCATTGACACGAGGACCAGCATAGTGCTTTCGACCCCAGATGTAATACCAGGCCAAAGCGATGGCGAGACCACCGACGAACACCACGGATCCGTAGTTCATGCCTGATAATGTGACGGGCAGTCCGGATGGCATGGAGAAAAGAGGGAGGGCGAAGGCACACCAAGCTAGCAAAACATGTTAGTGACGAGTTCGTGGGAATTTGAGCTCTGAAACCCCTTACCCATGGCGACCACATTGCAAAACGAACCGAAGATTCCGAAATTGTATCTCGCGCCCACCAGCGTTTTGCGTCCTGTGCAGAAAGAGACGGCGACGGGGATTACGTAGCTGAGAGTTAAGAATATGACACCGGAGCCGTTGAAGGCGTTGAAAGCGGCGGTGTTGCCGAGGTAGATGACACCGAGAACGACCTGGATGGCGGCACTGAGCATCATGGCGTTGAATGGGACATCGAGTTTCTTGTTGACAGTATCGAATTTCAGTTTTCGGGATCCTGGAATGGCACCGTCACGAGAGAATGCCCAAGTGCAGCGAGATGCGGCCGTTGTGCAACTGGTGCCGCAGAAAATTCCGAGGATGATGATTGGCACGGTCAGGACGAAGGCGCCGACGTCGTTTCCGATGGCGGATTTGAGGATCACGGGCAGTGGCTGTCCCGTCGGGTCGGCGACGACTGCGGCTAGATCGGGCAGGACGAAGCAGAGTGGGATCAGGAAGATGATGCCGCAAGCCCAGTTGAGGACTAAGGCACCGACAAGAGCCTTGGGGACTTGTTCCGCTGGCTTGTGCACCTCCTCGCACATACTGACGACCATTCCAGTGGCAGAAGTGGCGTATGCGGCATGCAGCAGACCGATGCAGAAGGCCCAACCTGAAGGGGTCCATCCGGAAAGAACTTCGAAATGCCCAAAAGCGAACGACGCGCTTCGTCTTCCCTCAGCAGCGATGGCGAGGGCACAGATGATGATGGCGAGGACACCAGCGAAGGTGAAACCGACGGTTGCCGTATCGATCAGGGGGAGCCATCGGTTACAAAGCGATGAGATCAAATTGCAAATGATGGTGATGCCGACGAAGATGAGGTAGGTTTGATATGCTTCGGCCACAAATATCGGGTTTCCGTCGGCGTCGCGGAAGATGTTGATGCAGCCGATCAGGAACAGTGTCGTGCCGAAGTTGACGGATAAGGTGATGATGATGTTTCCCAGCACGAATGCCCAGCCCGTCATCCACGCCATGAGTGATCTACACCAGCGAGGCGACACCATGTAGGTCTGGTAGTATACACCTCCGGCTGTGGGAAAGACCTCGAGAGAAAGAAGGTTTAGCTCATACTCGACACACTTCCGCGACGCAACGACACGGCACATCACAAAACCAAACCGCATACTCAAAGCCCCCTCCAAAAAAAAAAAGATACATACCGAAGTAATCTCGCCCAACGAAATCGCCACACACATCATCAACAGACACACCAAACACCAACCCCAAATGATGGTCGTCGGCCCGCCGTTCATCAAAGGATAAATCATGGTCGTCGCGAGCCCATACGGCACAGACGCCAAGACAAAAGACATGAACGCCACGCTCAGCGTCGATCGGTTCCGGCTCAAATCTTGCGTGTAGCCCATCGCCGCGAGCACATCTTCGGGACTGCTGTCGATGGAGTTGAGGCGCTGAGGCATGCTGGGCAGCACATGTTCTTTGGAGAGTTTGGAGGGGCGGCGGTAGGTTGGGTCGCCGGTGGGGTAGGGGGAGGATTTCGACATGGTGGGCTGAATGTGAGTTCTCTTCTTCTATCATGCACTGGAGGGAATACGGGTAGGTATTTGTTGCTCTCGGCTGTTGATGCTTGGGATGGTCCGTTCGTGGCCTATCTGATACGGTTGGATTTTTGGTCGCTTCCGAAGCTCTGTGGAAAGACTGGTACTGTTTATGGATCGACCCGGTATACTGGTTTCAAACCAGTGTCGCTTTGGGAAGTTGTTGCTCTGGGATTTTCGGTCCTGTCCTGTCCTGTCCTGTCGATGTCGAAGAGGGGCTGAAGGTAGATGGTAGATGCAGACACGTAGCGCTCTCTTCTTCTTCTTCTTCTGGCTATACAGTAATCACAAAATACATAGAATAGCAAAAGTTCGCGTTGGATGGATCGTTCGGGCAGAGCAGCCAAGACTTCCAAAGGACAGTAGTCTGGTGTGTATGAAAGAAAGACCAGCGTCGCACGAGCGCGGCCTTTCCAGAAGCCCCATTCTTTTGATTAAGTACATCTGGTGCCACGAGCGGACGGGAGCCTCGCAAACGTAATACGCCATCGGTTACTGAAGGACCGAGCAGTACAGCCTTAGCGCCAATCCACGCAATCCTCTGTGCTCGAATCCATACCCACGTCGCCCAGCCTCCATTTCCGGCGGAAATCTTTCCCACCCACAACCGCCAAGACCACACCACCTCAGTTCTCCCGAGCAATGCCCAGGCCGCCGAGCCATGGCAATTTTCTCTTTTCTCTCACGGCTCGCATTCCCTCGCTTGTGATGATCCCTTTGAAGGTCATACCGGAGATTCTTGGCGAACCGGTCCCACTAATGGTTCCACTTTCTATGCAAACTTTAGTAGCGTGTCGAACGCCGATTGGGTCTATACCTGTAGCCGACCTCGCTCCGGCTAGGGTGTTGATTAAGGTTAGCAACGAGGGTGCCGCTAGCAACCTTAGAGATTGACTTTGCTAGTTAAACCTAAGCAAGTAAAGGAATACAATGCCGCTAAGTATACTAAAGAGACTAGTTTATAGATATAGACCTATAGAATGTAGATATAGGCATACTAACTTATATAATATAGCTACGTACGCACTTACGTACTAAGGAAGAGTCTCGTTAGCGCCGTAGGCTCCGCTCGAAGGGTATTAAATTAACTATAAACGAGGTACGGCAACTAGTGCCGCTACGGAGTCTATTAAAGTAGCGATTATCGACTGCTAGCGATTAATAGAAGGCTATTATAGAGCGCCTCGACAAGGTAGAAGTATAGGTAAAGGACTTAAGGGTAGATTTAAACGTATAGTAATAGTAATAAGCCGTTGCCGCTCGTAGTAAGGTTAAGGTAAAGGAAGAGCCTCCTATAGAAGGCTCTTAAAGCGAGGAAGAGGTTGTTAGCGGCACCGAGTTTAATAAGCTAGCGACTAAGGTAGTAGATTTAAGGAAGGAAGTAAAGGAGCTAAAAGTGTTATTATCGTCGTTATTATAGGCTTAGTAGAAGGCCTTCGAGCCGGCGTTGCAATAGCTAAAGTACTCGTAGAAAAGGCAATAACTAAGCTCGTAGAAGAAGAAGCCGTTAATAGTCGCTTATTAGCAAACAATAGCTTCTAAGCAACTCGATAGGCCTTTAAGTCGGCTATATTATACTAGTTAAACTAACAGGTATTACATAGGTTGTATTTAGGTCCGCAATTAAGGCAGGTCTTCGAGGCGTCGTATTCTCGTCTACCTTATAGTATAATAGGCTACTACTTAAGCCGCTAGCTAGTCCTTGTAAACCTATAAAGCTAGCACTTCTTTAGCTTTATAAGAGTAACCGTTATTATATAGTTATAGCTACGGTTAAGCCGTAGCACCTTGTCTAGTAGTAAGTCGCCTTATTTAAAGTAGTAGCGGCGTAGACGAGGTAAGCTAGTATTGTAATTAGAGTAAGAGTGTCTACCTGTAAATCGCCCCTCCGGCGTACGAGGAAGGCTTCTTACGATAGCTATTACCGCTTCTCGTTTAGCTATTCGAATAGGCTATAATATAGCTGCACCTTCTTAAACTAGGTTCTAAGTAAGTCGTATACGATAGTCGCGCTAGCTTATTAGTATTAAGTCTCGAATAGCGTTAGTAGTTGCTCTATTGCGGTATATAAGGTAGGAGTTAATTACGGCTACGTCGAGGAGGAAGTAGAATAGCGGGTACTACGGCTTAAAGGCCTTATACTAAGTGCTATAATAGAACCGTAGCTAGTCGTGTATATCTACGCTACCTATATAGTTATTGTAATAAGCAGCGTATTTCGGTATATGCTTGTTCTTAATGCCCTCTATCTAGTATAGGCGTACGTAGTTGCGAATATAGGCATTAGTGTCCCTCGGCTTCCGTCTCTTCCTCGATTCTCGGTCGACTAGCTAGTGTCCGGTAGTAAGCATTTAAACGAGATTTCTGTCCTACTAGATTAGTGCCGCTACGTTGTAAATTACCCTATAAAGTACCGTATTAAAGGGAAAGCGCGTCGACTTACGATATAGGTTAATAGTCTTACCTAAATACGTAGAGAATAAAGCACTAGCCTACGGCTAGCTTTTCGAGCCTATACGTACCGTACCCGTAGCAGCGATACTATACTACCGTAGAATAGCAAAGAGAGGTATGTTATTAAATAGATTATCTAAGTAAATGTAGTAGAATCGTCGTTAGAAGGGCAGTTATAGTAGAAGAGATAGGACCGCCTTATAAAGCCTAGACAACTGAGACTTTAGGTTAACTAGCAGCTGCGCTACTATAGTTAGTCCGGTTGTAACCGCTAGTAGCTCCGCGTAAAGATCGGCTTGCTTATAAAGGCTCGGCGGTAGGTTAACCTCTTTACCTTTACTAATATTCGCCGCCCTTCTACGCTTTATTCTACCTATTTAACTATCGGCTTTGCTACTACGACGGCTGCGCTAAGAGCGCTATTTTCTTTACTGCTTAGAGAGCTCTTCTTCGATAAGAACTAGTCTATCGAAGCTAACCGGTGTCCTAACCTTCTCGAAGCCCTATTTCTTAGTCGGACTCGAGAATAACTAACTAACGATAAAACTAGTACAATATATAGCTAGTACGTAATAACCGATAGGGCATAGCTTGCCCTTTATTATTATTATATACGAAGAGCGTCTAGTAAAGCGAACGAGTACCTCGTTAAGGCTTACGTTAGTACTAGGTGTATAAATCTTCCGCATTTGAACCCTTAACTAATTAGCTAACTACTAAACCTATAACTATAGCGGATTGCCTTTACTCGACTCGACGGGCTTACTATACTATAGATACGCCTTTAACTGCCTAAATCGCTTCTCGGACATGTTCTTAGTAATATTATAAGAAGGCTAGTATCTATTAGTCCGCTAATAATCCGATTTATCGTCTATTTAAACAGCTAATATATAGATAATTATTCCTACGAAGATCTTTATCTTATATAGATACGCCTTCGTCTACTTCGTACTAGAAACTACTATTTTAATTACTCTAGTCCTAGCATTTATCTTCTTAAACCTAGGCTCTCGAGTATACTCGTTTGTATAGTATGCTAACTTCTTATAGATCTTATTAATCTATAGCTATTAGAAGAAGCGCTTCGGTATATTAAATACGTCTTTAGAGGTTAATTTCTCGAAGGACTTGTTACGGCAATCTATACCCTCGAAGAAGCGCTTATTTAGAGGCAGGTGTACCTCTAGCTCGCACTAAATACCTCGTAAAGGCAAGTACTTTACCCTATCTATTAACCTCGACTAATCCGGTACCTATACTAGGTTCTTAACGTCTAGCGGCGCCTTATTAACCGCTATACTATTAACAATATCGCTAGCAACGAGAGGCTTATTATCTCGCCTATTTAGCTCGTATTCCGCACTATAACTCGCTCGAATAGCCTCGTAACTAGCAACTACCTTTTACGCTACAATCTCGTTTATTTTCTCTTCTAGTTCTACTCCGAGGGTACTAACGTTATATACGGCATTATTATTAATATCGGACTAGTGTCTATCGTCGCCGTCGTCGTCGTCGAAATACTAAGAAGCTATTTACATAAAAGAGCGGTTAATATTAGCCTTCGAGGCTCGAAGTTAATCGGATAACTAGCGAGTTAAAAAAGAGCCGGTTACGGAGTGTAGAAAAATGCTATAGCGCTATCCCTAATACTAGCCTAGCAAGCGATAATCTACTATACTATCTATAGCAAAGCGCGTCCTGCAGGCCCTTGTCTGACAGGGGCTTGTGCATGAACGCTCTCAGCCGTCGAAATTTCAAAGGGATGACGCACCTCCGTCGGTCCCTTTACATCTTTTCGGCCGGAGGAAGCCGTCCCTGGTAAAAGTTTTCCACGCTTCGGACATTGCTTTGCGCACGCGACTCGCCTCGACAACCACGCCGAAGGATTGCTTGTGCATGGAGGGCAAGCACTACTCTGCTTCCACGAGAAGCACGGCTGCAGCGATGGAGATGCAGATGCAACTCTACCCAGGCCATGTCGACGGGTGCCCGGTGCTGCGTCATATTCCCGAACGCTTGTCTTGGCATGTGCTTGTCTGGAGCCCGCTACCTTGCATACATATTATTGATTCATGTATACCGCGGACACCGACTTCCTATCAGGGCGTTCGGACAGTGTCGCGACCTGGCCCTTTTACTAGGAGCATCTGGCGCGAGGCTGGGCTTCTATGTACAGTATTCTAATGATCCTGCAAAGGCCATAGAGTTCATGGCGTCATCAGCCTCGCTGTCCTTCTTCTCTACATAAGTATGTACACGCTCCTGCCTGAGGTGAGGATCAATGCCTGAGGCACCGAGCTTCGAGACACATGAAGTTACTTACTTGCCTTGCCTTGGAAGATCGATCACTCACGAAACATCCCACAGGACATACGACGCACGTGTGCCATTCTACCCCCCATGAAAACCTATGCCAGTTCGGCTCAGCTCAGCTCGAAATGCCTCGACTATCAAGTCTGTGGATGTCGATAGCGACGGAGATGCACTCAAAAGCGACAATATGCTAGCCTTCATAATCAAATTTGGAGTCATCATGGATCAAAGCGACAATGCTACCCGTTAGAAATTGTGCAATCTGATCCGCAGCCGTGGTCTCACTACAGCACCGGAAAAAGAAAAAATCGGGCGGTACCTCCATTGTCGACTGTGCAGCTAGAATCGCGCTACTCGATTCGTCGTCGGCTATACGCATAGGTATAGAGAAATACTAGCTACAGCCGAAGTTCGATAGATTAACTATGTACTAGGCCTAAAGGAGTGCGATGCTATTAGCTTCGATAGCGATCTACGTCGCTTAGTCCGTAGCGAATATCTATATTTCGCCGAGGATTTCCGAGGAAAAGACGTAGCTAAACTATAGTTAGCGAGAGGCCTATTAGAGAAGTTCTCTAGAAGTAACTAAATCCTAACTGTCTATA